TATTTAAGTGTACTGACCTACTTTTGATTAATTCATCCAAACTTTGACAAATTCCGTGACATTCCGCGTCATACAGTAAATTCCATTTATATGACTGGATTCCGTGATTCCGTCTGCGTTCTCCGCATCGTGGAAATCATAGATAATATTGAGGTGTTTTGCAACGTTAGTGGATTGGGATCTATTGCAACTTAAGCAACGTCTGCTGCTGCCTTACCTTTGAGAGACAACTGATGCGTGATCACTGAAGCAGCTCCAGTTAGCAAGCGCTTTCGGAGTGAGAGTGAATTCCGCATTGATTGGTCAGACTCATGACTCCCAACAAATCAGATGGGTGGTGGGCGGAGACTGCTTTAGGCCACAGAGTGGTGAGTTCTGACAGGCTGCATCAGAGCCAAATAGCGCGTTTCAAAATGAAGTTATTTTATCGGCGAATCGGTTTTGAAAATGACCGATACCGATAATCATAAAAATGCTTAATATCGGCGCCGATAATCGGCCAGACCGATAATCGGTCGACCCCTAATATATACTGCACACGAATAAAAAAGGACCGGATTTAAAGGGATAGTTTATCCAAAATGAAAACTTCTCAAAAGCTCAAAAATGCTTGCTTGAGACTTCAGACAAGAACAAACCTTATTGGGTCTCAAGCAGCAAGCAATAACATTTCAGCTTTCATGTACTGTATTTTATGTGCACTGTCTATGTGCATTGATCAATGTGTATATATAAAAGCATATGATTAAATCTGTTCAGACTTGGATTAAACCACTTCATTTATATGGATTACTTTTCCAATATTTTTATGACATTTTGAAAGCTTGAAATGAATGAATGGATAAAAATCAAGACAATATTAAAAATATCTTAATTTGTGTCCAGAATATAAACAATGCCTTATGGGTTTGGAACAACATGAGGGTGAGTTAATGATTTCATGATTAAATAATTTAAACTGTAAGAAAGTGATGGTGGTGTCATCAAGGAACACTTCTTTCTATGTGCATTTGTGTAGGTGACCTGTAGTTAGCACTAACAGCTTTGCACATTCAGACCGGATGAGCCAAGCTCACACTACACCTCCAAATGTAGCACCTCACGGAGTAGACAAATCCACCCTCACTCTCATGTCTGCCTGCAAGACTCAATGATGGTCCATGTCAAAAATCACAAATATTCAAACCTGATTAATGGAATTCGAGACAGCCCCATTAAACTCATGAGACATTGGAACTATATAGGTAGGTCTTCTTAAATATATGTATTTACAGATTTTTTTTGTTTGTTTGTGTGTTTTCTTTATGCGCTGGTCAGCTGGATCACTTTTTTCCAGGCTGCGGTACTCTAACAAACCACCAGAGGGAAGCAGTCACACAAAAGTGCTTGTACCCAGTGGCATTTGACACCCAGTATCATCCATATTCCAGACCTAGAAGATACTTTACATTTACTCATAAATCAAAAATTATTTTTCAACATGACAAATATAACAACAACATGTGTAAAACCCTGCAGATGAAAAAGCCATAATCAAGTCTTCTCTCAAGCTCAGTAAGTGATTCACAACACCTTTACTGAAGGACAACAGCAGTTACAGTAACTGGCTCTACTGTTAAAGCTCATCTGGAAATGTCATACAGACAAAAGACATGCTTGAACATGGCTTAAAAGACAACACATGCTTCTGTTTAATAACAAATCACATGGTCCTATACAATTAAGCAGCTCAATTCTCCAGCTCTCAGCTTTTAAGATGTGAAAGACATTCGTGAAACACATTTGTCTCATAACTTCTGTACAGTATTTCAAAGAGAAACAATATTCTGAGGGAAATAATGTAGAGCACTACTTGATTTTATCCACTAGGATTTGTTCTGACTGAGCATATATAGTGTCTTAAGTGGCATGGTAAAAGAAATTAGTTCACTTTCAGAATTGATGATTTCAATGTATTTTGGCATTGCATAATTTTGTTCATTTACACTGCCAGTGCTTTCCTGTGTTTTTGTGCTTTCATTCACAAGCCTGGACAGTCCCATAAAGACACATTGACATCAAATGTCAATCAAGAAGCCCTGCTCTTTCAATTTTGTGTTATCCTCCCATGAACAACTGCACTGCATATATACTTCTACTGTATTTGGCTGGTCCATTTCATCATCCGAATGGATGGTGAGTAGTTCCTTGGTCATGTTTTTTTTTCCTTTTGCATCTTTGTCTGTACAAAATCTTTCTCCTTCTTTCCTATTAAGTTGTCACATACAGCTAATATTATCACTACGAAATGCATCTTACATAGAATAAAGCTCCTGTTCTGTTTAAATCTGCATTCTAGGATTAATCCAAGTAACATTATTCAAATTTTTCAGAATTTCGACCTGCATTCACACAGAATGTATTCAATACAAAGAGAGGTAAAAGACAGAAAAGAGGTCAGGGTGATAATCCAGGGTAATAACTTAAAGAGTAATAGCCAAAGACCAGTAAGTGAATTTAAAACGAAAGACTGAAAAGATAAAAAATATATATACTGAGATACTGAAGTGTGAAGTCAGTTTTGTTTCTGCAGGACTAAATCATTATCTGGATTTCTCAAGGGGTGGATGAGGTCAAAGTGCTAAATGTTAGGGATGCACTGATGTATCGGCCGCTGATATTTATCGGCCGGTTTTTGATTATTTTAACCCCTTAACTGACAAAGATCGGCGTCAGATTATTGTTGTTTCACTTTCACAACACGTTAAAACATCCCACTCTTACTTGATCTGGACAAACTGTGCATCATTAGAAAGATTAAACTTCCCGCCCCGTCTTTATCTTGTGTTGCACTTCCTGTGCTCTTTCGCGTTCATTTCTGACCATAACAAACCCAGATAAACACTTTTACACACAAAGAATAAAGATAATAAACACGATTATGATAGGATATGGTTTGTATGTGACTTTCTTGAGATTTGGGGTATTTTCATAACAATAAAGAATGTGTATATCTGAAATGCTAATTTGTGCAGCAATATAAAAGGCTATAAATAGCATATTTTAACAACAGTAAACGGCCAAATTCCACATGTGATCGCAAAAGGAAGTTATTACAAACACTCGATGGTGGTTTAAAGTGAGTTTTGAGTAAAAGTGTACTATTAATGTCATAAATTGTCTTATGTAGCTTGATGCTAATGTTAGCTCTAATGGAGCTGTATAACAGGTGCAGTTCTTCTTCATAATGCATTTTGTCATAATTCACGTAAGGTCGTAAGAAAATGTTGTGTTGTATTTTTTTTAGAAATACT